TAATGAGGAAAAAAATTAACTTAAATGATTTTAGCAAATGGCTGCAATATAACAAAGAGTGAAAAATTTAAGGGGGTCTGAATACTTTCCGTACCCACTGTATATATATATATATTATCAATGGCAGCTGATATGTTATTAATGTTTATTAATGTTTCTGAAATAAAATGTAATAATTTGGGTTAAACATTGTTTTTTCCCCCTCTTTTTAATGAACTAATATTTCTTTCTCAACATGTATTTACCAATGGAGGTCAGACTGACCACTATCATACAGTACCTTTATTTGTACTTCCATAGCACACTAAATCCACATAGTGGCAGCAGAAGTTTCCATAAAAATCTTTACATAAAGAGCAAGTTGATTTATTCATTGTGCCTTTATTTATATTTTGTTTACATACCTGTGGTTTTTATTTTGTTCATCACACTTCACATCAGTTTAATTTCTACCCACCCATACGTAAAAACTAAGTACTGAAATGTGATTATTTTAAACAATTTAAAAAAATTTAACTTACAAAATTTTTTGCCTATTCTTTAAATTATTATGCATGTGTTTTAATTAAAGAAAAGGCTAGATAGCGTATTCATACCTTTTTTTTTTAATACTGACCATGACATGATGATTTAAAATGAATTATTAGGCAAAAATGTTATTAAAATATTGAATGTTTTAAATATGGGTAAACTGGATCTGGGACCATAAAGCTTGATCACCATTATATCTATATGAATTTCCTTAAACAGTTCAGAGTCATGACTAAGCTAAATATATCTTTGGGAAGTATAGCTGATGATGTCACATTGAGGGGCATGTCAGAGCTCATTTCACAATCACAGCAGGAGAAGAAAAGGTAAGAAAAAAAAAGGCATATACAGGTCTGTCCATCCATCTGTCGCTGCAGAGCCAAATGGGACCCCCCTCTCTGGACCTAATAGTTGGGGCTTGACCTAAGCTCCAACTCTGTGAACCAAGTGAGATGCCATCAAGTGCCACCCACTGGCTGTTATAACATTATAGCAAGCGTTATTCATGCAGTTCTTCCAGACCTATGAACCTCTTTTGAGTTCTGCATTAAAGTCTTCAGAGATTTCTGGCAGCTCTTCAAAACAACAACGACAAAAGTTAAACAACCTGATCTTCTGTTTTCACAACTACAAAACTTTTTCATAAAAGAATTTCAGTAGGGTCTGTCAAGGATTCTGTGAGAGAGGACTCAAATGCAGAATGAGTGATCCTGGGTTTATAAACAAAACAGATGACAGGACAAGAGAAGCTGCGAGGTAATCATGGTATCTTCCGTCCAATCGTTTTTTTATTTAATATTGAAATCTGAATAATGAAAAAACTGCACATTTTTCGTTTTTCACTTGTTCAAACAAAACAAAAATCAAGAATTCGGCTTAATTTTTCGTTTTTACGTTCAGGGATAGAAGACGAATAAGCAACTTGAATATTCGATCTCTACATGTGGGTGGGAATGAAACGCCCCTCTCCGCTGATTGGTCAACCAAACATTACAACATAATAATAGTCCTTAAAAACATAATAAGAGTCCTCCGCTTCTATGGATTCTTAACGTGTTTATTTCTACTAGTTTATTTAACTAATATTGAGTATTGGCCAGCTAACTGATGACATAAAAAATTGTTATTTAACAACTAAACCAAAGTCACAGAACCGTTGTGTGACTGACTCGCAGCAGGCGCATAGAGTGGTGAATCATTCCTGAATGAATCAGTCTTTGAAAAACCCATTATTATAGACAGCCGCTTGATTTTATTCCTAAATGAATGAATGAAGCATTTTGAACGAATTGATTGAATAAAAGGCTCCTTTATTAACACAATGACCTTCTGCCACCTAGTGGCGATATTACTTTCATAATTCAAGTATCATTTAATTTTATTCATATTGCTGTAATAAAAATGTTTTATAAAACATTAATGTCATTTCATTATACATTTGTAATTGCTGTGTAAATGCACGTACAGCGGTCTGATCAGCATTAAACTGTAAATACATCTAAAAGCATCTTCAGACACGGGTTCTATATCTCTGAATACTGATTTAAGTGGTAACAGCCTATTGTCATATTATTCAAATTTATTTGATGTAAGAATTTAATGTATCTCAGAGGGGACATGGATGCATTTAAACTGCAGTTGCATATGCTTAAATAGGCCTGATGTTTTGTTTTTAACATAAAACTTTGAATACTGATATTTGAAATAATTTAAAACATGAAAAAAATTGTCGAAATGTGAAATTAAAACCGCCAGTAGGTGACAGCAAGTGACTGTTAATGAGTAAGTCATTGAGATTCAACCGATTCATTCAAACGACTGAATCATTCAGAAACAACGCATTTGACTGTGTTAATGAGTGAATCGCTGAATCATTTATTCAACCGATTAGTTCAAAAAGCTGATTCACTCAATAAATAAACACCGCCCATTGCTCAGAGACGCAAAACAA